GCACAGCTGCTTGGCGTCGCAGCGATCTCCGTCGTTGCTATCTACCTGGGCTACGCTTTCATTTTGAGCAGCAAGGAGGCAGCTGTGACTTTCAATGTTCCGCTGCCGGCTGAGGTTCGCGCCAACTGGACCGGCAAGAAATGGGAGGAGATGCAGGGTGAGGAGAAGAAGGTGCTTGAAGGTCAGGTCCGAGGGGTAGGTTTACTTCCCCTGCGCGTTGACTATTGATCAATGGGACACAGGCCGATGCTAATGCTTTGTGACTTGCACAGCAATGGAGTGACAAGTTGATTATGAGTTACTGTCCTGCGGACGGACGAGTCCTGGGCAACGGAATCAAGCCGAACACCGCAGACGATGTCAATCGAGCGATACAAGCTTCCAAAACCGCGCAGGTCGAATGGGCTAAGACTAGCTTTGCCGATAGGAGGAAGGTCCTTCGGACATTGCTCAAGTGCGTTCGCCAGCCCTGAATACAGGTTCGAGCGAGGAACTGGAAGCTAACAATCGATTCGAAATCCGCAGATACGTCCTCGACCACCAAGATGAGATCGTCGCTGCATGCTGCCTGGATTCGGGGAAAACAAAAGTCGATGCCTCGTTTGGGGAGATCCTCGTCACCGCGGAGAAGCTGAAATGGACCATCGACCACGGCGAAAAGGCCCTGACGGCTGAACCCCGACCAACAAATTTCCTGATGATGTACAAGAAGAACGTGGTCACGTACGAGCCGCTGGGCGTTGTCTCCGCCTGCGTCTCCTGGAACTATCCGTTCCACAACTTCATCTCCCCGGTCATCAGCGCGATCTTCGCTGGGAATGGTATCGTGGTGAAGCCGTCCGAGCAGACCGCATGGTGCACCATGTTCTTCCTTGAAATCGTCCGAGGCGCTCTGTCGAGCTGCGGCCATTCGCGAGACCTAGTACAAACTGTCGTGTGCCTTCCTGATGTCGCAGGCGCCCTGACATCTCACCCGGATATCTCTCAGTTGACATTCATCGGTTCCCGGCCTGTCGCGCACAAAGTGTGCGAGTCCGCAGCCAAGGCATTGACACCAGTCACCGTGGAGCTGGGCGGGAAGGATCCCGCCGTCATCCTGGACGACGCGCGGACCGTGAGCGAAGTATCCTCCATTGCCTCGGTGCTCATGCGCGGTGTTTTCCAATCCGCCGGGCAAAACTGCATTGGTGTCGAACGCGTCATCGCCCTCCCAGGCGTATACGACAAGCTTCTGGATACCGTCGCCCCTCGCATCAAAGCCCTCCGTCTTGGCTCCGTTCTGCTCGACTCCAAACCAAACGACTCCCAGCAGAAACCGATCACCCCAGACATGGGCGCGATGATCTCCCCGGCATCCTTCGATCGACTAGAATCTCTCATCGAAGACGCCGTCAGACAAGGCGCACGGCTCATCTGCGGCGGCAAACGATACAATCACTCTAGATACCCCCACGGCCATTACTTCATGCCCACCCTGCTTGCCGACGTGACTCCCTCCATGCGAATTGCGCAGACGGAACTCTTCGCCCCGGTCTTTGTCCTCATGCGCGCGGAATCAGTGCCCCACGCTATCAGCATCGCAAACTCAACAATGTACGCTCTCGGAGCCAGTGTGTTCGGGTATAACCAGAAGGATGTCGCCGCATGTGTATCTCAGATCAAAGCTGGCATGGTGTCCGTGAATGACTTTGCCAGTTACTACGCGGTGCAGCTGCCGTTTGGCGGCGTCAAGGGTTCGGGATATGGTCGGTTCGCCGGAGAAGAGGGTCTCCGTGCCGTGAGTAACATCAAGGCTATTTGTGTAGACCGCTTCCCCAGGTTGATGGCTACGCGGATACCACCCAGGGTGGACTATCCAATCCAGAAGGGGGAGGATGCGAAGCAGAATGGGACTGGAGCTTGGGAGCTGTGCAAGGGTGTGGTTGAGACGGGGTATCAACTGACGCTGGCCGGCAGGCTAAATGGGATCCTGCGGCTCTTGAAGAATATGTGAAGGGTTATCTACTGTATTAACATAATCAAATAAGCCCACCAACGAGGGCAGATCTTGTAATTTATATAATGAAATAATGATATTGAGAGACAGCATTGCAGCAAGTGGTCAATACGGGCTCTTTTTACGCCGTCGTAGTCTCGATAGCCCTCCACTGGCTGAACAGGTCAACAGTCGCCTCCTCCATCCAACACGGCAGCTCGTCCACGTTCAATACATCCCGCAAATACCGTCTCGCCAGCTCAATCTGCCCATTGGCTCTCCCCAGATAAAACACCGCACCCTCCGCGGGGTCCGCATTCGCAGTCTCTAGCTGCTGCGGCAGCTTCAACATCAAATCCAGCAACCAATGACCAAATGCATCACCGAGATTCATCGCCCATTCCGTAATCTCGGGATCATCCGCCGGGACAGATTCCGCGCTCGCTCGAAGCAATGTTTGGAACAGGGCCGGGTCGTTCCGTGCGACTCGGACAGCCGTGCGGAAATGTTCGGGTGGGATGCTGTATCGTAGGCCGCCGGCGACGGTTGCGTTGCTGCGGAAGACGTACTCGTCTATTTTGAGGAGGGTCGCGAGTGCTCGCGTGTTGTGCTCCACGAGGGCGATGTGGACGCCTTGGTGCAGGGATTCGCGGGAGACGGAGATGTCTGTCTCCAGGTGGTCGGAGCGGTTGAGCCCGCAGGCGAGTCGCATGGTTTCGAGGTACGTTGCGTGTTCGTCGCTGAAGCCTTCTCCGCTGGCGCCGAGAAGGAGCTTCTCGGGGAAGTGTTTGACGCGGAGGATTTTGTGGATTTGTTGCTCGTCGGTTTCCTGGCATGCGATGCTTACTGACACGAACGGAGTGATGGATAGAGTGTAGTGATTGCCATCCTTGTCGGTACCTTCGTACGTAGACGTGTCGTTTTCTCGCGCGAGGAAGCGATCTAAGGATTCTTGTTGGTCTTCAGGCATTTCAATACCAGCATTGAACCAATGTCTCTGGATAGTCAGGTTTGTCATGTCCGACAGCAGCTTGAGCAACCGAGGCATCGTGCACCACCGGCAGCGCAGGATGGACGTTTGAAGACTTTCGCGGTCGTCATCCTGCAGGGGAACATACTCCAACGGTCTCAGTATCCTCGAGATAGCAGAGTCTGGATCCTCAGCGTCTGAAGCGGAATCATTCCAGAAAGCGAGCAATATCAACACGCGATAGATGCGCTCACTCGATACCGCCGCCGCCAGTGACGGCGATGCACGGGATAGATTGACATTCAACGAGTACAAGAAGATCTTCTCGATCAACTCTACCGGAAGAGTCTCCAGTAAGGATAATGTCTTGCGACGCTTCGACGGCCTGGCGGCCCACAGGCGGGCTCTCTTATTGCTCCTGGACTGAGACGAGTCGAGTCTGGCCTCATGGGACATCAAGGGCCGGCCGCCCTTCGGCCCGCTTGGTCTTGCCTTCGCCCCTTCATCATGGTTGGGGTTCTGCGCAGGGACTTTCTTTCTACGGCCGCGGACCCTGATTGGGGTCAGCATGCCCGGCGGAGGGGAGTGGGTGGAGATCGTCCGATGAGAGTTAAGGTTGTCTTTGCGCCATGACAAGCGAGCCTGTAAATTCTCGAGGAATGTACACGACCCGGTTTGAGCTCACTTCAGCCCGGTAGGGCTGGGGGTGCAATGACGATATCTTTTGACGCTTGGAATCTGACAGTTTAAGGCATAACATCACAAAGATCCGTAGCCAATGAGGGAGAGGTCTGCGAAGAACCTTACCATAAAGAGGAGAAAAGGGCTTTGGTAGGTCAGCTGACATAGCTCAATCCTACCCTAGCACTAGGCTACTTGGGGGATAGTGTTGCAGGGACAAGTAATGATGTCATAACATGATGTACCTCTCTTACATTTCAGTGTGTCAAGTTCTCAACGCCACTTGCGCACCCTGAATCTCTATCAAAAACAAGTAGGAAAGCCCATGAATGGTCAAAGCACGGTTAAGCTCTTCCTGTCCAAACACATTTTGTTGCAGGGCCACCTGACAGGTAATCAATCCCTCGATCCACAGTCTGTTTGCCGCATGTGGACGAATCGTACCAAGAAACCAGGATGGAACAGTCGTCGATATGACGGCATCGAGCAGTGTTTGGTCCTGGCTCTGTGGAGGTGACCATGCCATAGAATCCATAGAATTACGTCCTTCGCAGAACCTTTTCTCTCGAGGCTTCTATTCTTACGCAAAACTGCCCCTTTCATGATATTCACTTGTCACATTCCTGGAATATCCCAACCTCATACATCATCATTCTGAGACCTTGGCGCTATTGTGACATCGTACCTGCCATATATAGTTTCAGTATCCCTCCCCTTTCAACCTTACACAATGCGTCCATTCTCTGATACCTCTGTCCACACTACTGCATCTTCCAGTACTTTGCCAAACACAGACAACGCTTCCTCTAAACCACAAACCGTGATCCACATCAAAACAAAGATCCTACAATAAACAGGAACATCTGATCAATATGGGTGCCGTCGTGTCTTGCGTATGTCCTGCCCTCTCAGTTGTTTTGCACCTCCTTACTGACCATTTCATAGATCCGGGACGTCTTCCGTTCCATCGGCGCCTGCCTCATGGGCATCGTCAATACCATCGGCGCAGTCCTTAAAGCCATCATCAACGGTGTCGTCTCCCTCTGCGATATCGTTATTTCATGCCTCACTTGTGGCTACTGCGGAAACCGGGGAAGGATGAGGTCTTCGAGACATCGACGATCAAGGGTCTAGTCACTGCACCCGCCGGACTTGATGAGTTATGATGGATATGATACCTTGTGTTCATGGACTTGTCTTTCCAGTTTCGTTTCGTTATTTGTCCGCGTTCGCGCTTTTTCGCCTGCTTTCTTCATACCCCAGCAGTGTTGGTCATCCTTAGAATCTTATGTATTTCTAAATGATAACGGTTAATCCATGACTTCTTCTCCCTATTCACGTCTCCCAGGAGTATTGAATGGCAAAGTGTATACCTCATGCTGGAAAACATAGTCCTACTTTCGCTATCAGCTCATTCTTGAGCCTTATATCAGACGAAGGCAAATCATCCCAACGCTCCCGAACCAGAAAGTTGAGAAACGGATCGTTCGAAGAGTCCGCGTACTTCAACGCTACCTTGAAATGAGACCGTTGTATAGGCCAGCGCAGGGGATACCTATAGATCCGGATCCGAATGAAGAGTTCTACCAGTACCTTGAAAGTACCGTAATCGCGGCTCCGGATTACCTGGCGAAGCAGGCGCCCAGAACGCTCAAATTCCTCGTCGTAATCGATGTATACCTCCGTACATAGTAACTTAAGGAACTCTATCTTCGTTTCTGTCCATGGACCACAAAGCAACTTGTCTGGCATCCGCGACGGAGTTTCACCCGCGCAACAGGGCAGTCGAAAGAGATCGAGCTCTGTATGAAGCGGATTCGGTCTGCGAATCTGAAAAGCGCCAAAGTTGAACCACACCGCGACTCTATACTCCTCATTGGTCTCTGGATCTTGCGCCCTGCAAACCAGATCGCCTTTCCCTAGACGACCTTGATGGCCCTGGTCGTAGCGTTTCAGGTCGTGGAAGTGCTCCCCGATCTTGGCTATGCTGTCGCAGTCTTCAGGGGCGAAGACTAGGTCTCGGCACTTGAGACGGACGGCGTGTTCGATGTATTCTCTCTGGCATTTGCGCATGAGCTCTAGCGTGCACCAACGACATGCGAGAATTACGCTTTGAAGGTTGCTTCGTTCTTCTGTAGATTGCGCGAAGAAGTCTAGTGGCGGAGGGAGAAAGTCTGGAGTGAAAAAGCCATTCTTGGAGCTCTCATTGGAGCTACTAAAGGCCAGGCGAATGAGCCAGGTATAGAGGGTCGGATTTGAGAGTGCCCTAGCGAGGTAAATCGAGGCTCTCGGAAGATTGAACTCGAGACTATGTAGGAAGATCTTCTGGAGGAGCTCCACTGGGAGGCATTCCAGCCTAGACTGAGCCTGCGCTGGAGGCGATTCCTGATTCATCTGCTCGGGGTCGTGTGCCTGACGAATCTCATGCGGCTCTATGATGTGATTTGACATGGTATGAATGGTCGCGGTAAAATCAAGCGGAGACAATATCTTGATGGTCATGCCATGATATGGGCGAATCCATATATATTGTCTCGAATCAGCCAGGCTATGCAATGAGAGAGCAGGTAAGACTGGGCAGCCCCAAAGGTAGACCGTCTCTATCAAATCATCTTCATTGGCAAGTATGTCTGAGAAACTGTAACTGCAGGACGAGGGTTGGGCAGTCGGCCGCCAGCTCGGTGCTATTCTCAGGTATCGATCCAGAGAAATAACCAACAATACCAGTCAGACCAATACTATATATCTGGAATAAATGAATGACAGCATCAGTGCTACCTGCTATGACTCGGTCAAGCAAGCCACAATATCAAAAGAGGCATGCAAAGCGAGTCGCTAAGAGCCTGGTAGTAGCATAAATTCAATTTACAGGAACAGGGGGCTGAAGGCGGAACAACAACAGTTCGCTGAGGGTCCAGGATTTGACACTCTCGATATATCCAAAACTTGGGCTAGTTGGCCAATCACCAGAACTCTCTATTTGATGTGCTACTGTTGTTGGTTTTTAATTTTTTCTTTCCCAATGCTTGCAATCTTTGATCGTGATAATCATTTTACGTGCTACAGGTACAGAAGCAAGCGAGTTTCAGTACAATGCTCGCTCTGGGTTCGGGAAGGGAACGCGATCTACAGCAGCTTCACATATGCATGTGATGTGCCTGAATCAATGAGGACGGAGTATTAAGCATTGAAAAGGACGAGTCATGACTACGAGCCAAAGGCGAAAATGGCTGGATGCATAAATGCAGGGGAACCGTCTTCTAATTTCAACATTGATTCTATACAGATCCGTCAACCAAAAGAAATACACTGCCAGGTATCAGGAATGATAGCCATTCGTTAAGAGGCTTCACAAGAAGTTTCCGTCGTGTAATTCCATTGGTTGTAGGATAAAAGATGCGGGAAATGAGATGCAAATGCTGACAATTTAGACAGCGGACAAGTCACCGAAGCGCTCCTATTCAGAGAATTATCATCAGTAAATCGACTCGTTTGTAAGCAGGTGTCCAGGAATTGTAACCCACCTTGTATCCGGCCGGCATCCATCTGCCCCTGGAGACGAGGGCAGCAGTCTTCTCGTCAATCTCGGGCTGAGCAGCAGCGACCTCATCCTATAAAAGAGTCAATTTATATCCCCTTCAAACAACAGCCTCCCATCTTGTGATCCAAAACATACCACAGTGAGCTCATCGAAGGGACGAGCGGTCTCGATGTTCTCCAGAGTCTTCTCCAGGTTGCGGAGCTCGGACTCGACCTTGCCCTTGGTCTCCTCAGCGCTCTTGACGGCCTGAGCCTCAAAAGCATCGATAGCCTTCAACTGACGGCTGACATCGTAGGTAGCGGGCTTGAAGTTCTTGACGTAACCCTCAATCTCGTCGACGATAGCCTGGTTCTTCAGGATGCTGCGGTAGTGGTCGAAGTTGACGGTCTGGGGCTGCTCGGACAGGACCTGGACCTTGCGGCGCGCATCGTCGTTACGCTTCTTGAAGGCCTGGAGAGAGGCAGCGGTCTGACCGCGGAGGCCGAGAGAGCTGGTCACCTTGACCCAGTCGATCTTGAGAGCGGCGCTACGCTGTAAAAGCGAGTGTTAGCGATCCAAACCCTCCAATTCATCATGTATCCGTGTTCGGAAGGTGCAAGTGACATACAGCAGCCATTTTTATTTGTGGAATGGTGGAAGATTGGGAAAAGAGGGGGACTTCAACGTGCAAACCTGGACATTCCGAGATGAGGGTTGTTTCGGCAAGGTTTGGATGGGGATAAAGTCACGTGATTATTTTGTTCCCGTGTTCCGAACCCATCCACCAACAGCCGCAAACCATCAGGCTGAGTTGTCATATTGATATGCATCATTATTTATTGGGCCTTAGATGTAGTATCTTCCATGACTGTAAAGATTGGAATATAACGTTTAAGGGCAAGTGGCCCGTAGAAAAGATTGATTTAAATCCGGTCAATTCTGCTTTTTTGAACTAACTGATTTACACAAAGGGCGAGACAGAACATGCGTCAAAGGGATATCAACCTGACGTCGCACCCAGAGTTCATCCTGCCAGCAGGGCTAAGACGTCAGCCACTGACGGCGTGGATTCAACTTGGCGGGGGTTATATGCTGAGCGCCATGATGGAGTTGACGATATCGTTGTCGTTCTCGCGCAGGGCCTTGACGGCCTTCTTGCGCGACACATTAGCCTGAGCCATGACGAGCTCGATGTCCTTGGCCTCGAGGCCAGTCTCATCGACCTCCTCACCATCATCCTCTTCCTCCTCCTTCTTGGCCTCGGTCTCGGGGGCCTTGCCCTTGCCGTGGTCGTGGTCGTGGTCGTGACCGGCGTGCTCGCCAGCGGCGGCCTCAGCGGCAGCCAGCTGCTGGGCAGCGGAGGCCTGAGCCTGGGAGTTCAGGTCCTCGATCTTGGCCTCACCGAAGATGCTGTTGAAATGTGTAAGCTAAATGATAGACGCTCATCGAAAGAATCCGTAAGACACATACATCCAGGTGTTGCTGGAGGGAGAGCGGTAGACATCGGGCTGGTTGATGACGAAGAGAATCTGCAGAGAACAGATTAGCTCCTGCTCTTTCACATTTGGGCTCTGCCTTGCAGAAACCCCGAGATATACGGAGAGTTGATTGTCGCGCAAATGGGCCGTGTTCTTACGTTCTTGGGTCTGCGGAGGGTGACACGAGTGATGCCAGGAACGTGCTTCAGACCGAGCTTGCCAATGGCCTTTCTGGCCTTCTTCTCGTTACGGGAGTGGATGGTGACGGCGGCGCCAGCGGGGATGCTGGACTCCTCACCAGCCTCGGACTCGGAGTCGCTGCCAGCGTCCTCAACGTTGGCCTTGGGAACCTCCTCGTCAGGGAGCTCTTCAACACGGGGATCAGCCATTTTTGCGGTCTAAACGAGCCTAGAAGGGCTGTTAATTTGACAGTTAGCGATTCGAACTGGAGCACCGTCTGGTGGTTCAAATATAAACGTTGGAAAATGCCCCACGAAACACTGAAATCTCCACCAAAAGCGCAGGAAATTCGAAATTGGGGCCAGAGATCAATTTGGAATCTGTAAAATCAATATAAACATACCTAGTTCACGGATAGAGGGCTGTTGGGGATGATTGGGGGTTTTTTTGTCTTGTTGTAAGTGGAAGGTCGCAAAGCTGTGTGAATGCCATGCTGCCGAAAATCGTTAGCGAGGTGATTGTGACCCTCACCCCAGACTCACACAAGCACCACCTTTACAAGCTATACAAGTCATAACGAGCTAATTCAACTCAAATAGTATATATGACGATATATTCCTACTTTTTCCATGAGGCAATTGAGTTTAAAATGTTTAATTCCCAATTAATGTCTAAGGAGACGGCTAAAACCAGAGCCATGTACTAATCGGGTGCGCCAATCTGATGACATAGTAGGATAAACCGTGTCAGGATATCAAGGTTTTGAATCATTTTTTGGCTGTCATTGTAGTGGATACAGCTTATTTTTTGCTGAAATAGAATAAAACCCTCAGCCATGTAAAACCGTCCCAAGGTACCCCTTCATACTATGCACCGAGCCTCATGAAAACATCTATGACTTAGGAGCAGCAGCCCTGACCTTGGCGTGAGCCTTCTGGACCTCGTAGCGAGCCTGTTAAATCGTGACATGTCAGCAAACGATCGCATATTATCTTGCAAGTAATTGCTCCTCTTTCCTCTCGCGATAAGCGAGCGCAGAGTGGCCGAAAATGTCCTCCAATGTCCCATCACAATTTCACCCGTAGTTTCGCAAACTGCACGTACCTGCTTTCTGAGTCTGAGGACCTTGAAGCGCTCGAAGTCGGTCAGGTTCTTCCTCCGCTCAGCGCGCTCAGTCTTCTGAGCAATGGTGCTCTTAGCCCACTTTCCATCGATCTCGTTCTTCTCCCAGAGCTTCTTGACGGGGCCAGTGCCGGCAGCGCGGGGGAGTTTGGGAATGACGAAGGGGGTGAGAGTGGCGTGAGCGAGAGGAAGGGCGTGACGAGGAACGATCTTGTTCTCCTCGGTGGAAGGACCGTCAACCAGGACCTATAATCGCGACTCTCTGTCAATATTCCATCCGACCATAATATTTCCGTCCTGCGCTCAGAATTCCTCCGTTGAAAAACGTACACGCTTGTGGTCGATGATCTCGACAATGGCAGCAAGCTTGCCGGTGTAAGGACCGCTGCGGATCAGCAGAACACGGCCAACCTCAACAAGCTTCCATTGAGCAATCTTGACATCGATATCGGCCATGGCGAAGGCTTCCTAGAAAACAACAAAAACGGATTCTTCAGTGACAGTCCAGAAATGCGATAGAGGGCGTAGATCTCAAACTCACGGTCGACAGACTCCGGGAGGGCGGTGATGGGAATTTGTTGTCGAAGAGTCGGGGTTGTCAAAGTCGTCCGAAACGCACACAAGTCGCTCTGGGCTACTGGATCGCGAATTTCGGGTGTTGCGGTCTTCGCCCACAAGAGTCTCGCTTAACAGCCAGTAGCAACTCGCCGAACGTGGTTGCGTGCGGCCTAGGGCTGCTTTTCGCTGGGGCCTTGGCGCCTCAAGACCGGCTTTACTCATTTCTCCGTGCCGGCAAAACTACATTTAAGCTTCTCCCAAAGCATTTTACTTACCTCTTCCTTGCATTTGCAAAGAATTTGAGTTGGCCTTTGGCTCATTCTTTTCAGGACAAAATGAGGTTCTGCTTATACTATCTGCGACTGACTTGATCTTCACAGGTTCATACATGCAATGTCTTATATTTACTGGTATGTTTTCTATCTCCATTTTCTCAATATCGCCCTTCACATGATGCGGTAATTTGCGATTGACGCAGTGTCTGTGAACCCTTGCCGGGGTTCGTTAAGCAGCGCTGCCGCATGATATTCATTTCTTACATATTCTGAAATTTGTTTGATTGCTCCTACTTGATTATCGTCACGATTCGTGCT